TGTTGAAATGTCAGATACGTAGTGTACATGTAACACATCTGAGTTTACAAAGTGGCAATTGGTGCATTAAAAAAGATGAATGCAAGTTGGGAGTCCTGAAGTCAAAATTAGTATTTTTGCTACTTTGTATTTACAAAACATTCTTTAGAAGTAAATTCTTTGCCTGTAAAGTACAAATCCCAGGAGTCAGTGGCTCCTGGGTTGGGCAGCCCGTCGGCGGCTCCTGGGTTGGGCAGCCCGTCGGCGGCTCCTGGGTTGGGCAGCCCGTCGGCGGCTCCTGGGTTGGGCAGCCCGTCGGCGGCTCTTGGGTCCACCACTGGTGTACACATGATGATTGAGACTTTAGACAGTCATTCTGCGTTCTTGAGCTCGGGCCAGAAGTTGGCACATTGATAACGTTTGGCTAGGTTTGTTGTGCACAAGGGGAAATTGATAACATTCTGATTGGTGGAGTTTGATGATCAGTGATTGGTTAGTATTGTTATGGTAAATGTAATGTGCACACAGAATTGGCTTTGCAAATTATCGTGTACACCAGCACACCTTGGGGCTGACCAGCTACCTGTGTTCCCTTTTACATGAGCATGGTAGAAGATTATTCTCAGCCGCTGTCGCTGGGTGTCAAAATGCATCTGCTCGATAGCTTCTGAGGAAGGCAAAGTGGCACCTAGGCAAAAGGGATTGACTAGCCCAAGTGGGCCTACCTTTACACAGGCTACCCCCCTTCTGTCTCATGAATACTGCTGCCATGCTCATCCACCGCTCTCTGCCAATCACTCTTCTGGCTTCTTTTCGCCCATTGAATAAAATTCAAAATACTAACAACAAACATACAAAGCCATCCACAACTCTGCTCCTAGTTACATCATCATCCACGTCACAAAATATCACCCAAACCATCCTCTTTGCTTCACCCAAGAATTCCTGCTCTCTAGCTCCCTACTCACCTCAAATGCTCACCTCCATGACTTTTCCAGAGCCTCTCTTATCTTATTACTTATAACTTATCTCTTACCCTGTTCCCATTTTAGACAACTCCTGAAAACTCCTCTCTTCATGGAAGCCTATCCCGCCTCTACCTAAAAACTGTACTTCTACCTTCCCCCATCAGCTCATCCCTCACAGTTAATGGCTTTTGTATCACTTGTCCCGCCCTTTAGATTGTAAGCTCTAACAAGCAGGGCGCTCCTAACCCTCTTGTATTGAATTGCACGGCCTCCCTGTAGTTAGTAAAGCACTGAGCAGACTGGTGCCACTATATAGATTTGTTATAATAATAATAATAATCTTGCGTGATGACATACTACACCAGATTGGCTTCTTGTCATTCCCCAGTGAACAGACTCCTTCTAATCCATCGTTAAATAGCTAATTGAGCAGTTGTGGAATGCCACACCCCTGCAGGGGATGCTGCCAGGACATGCTGGGGCTTGTGGTTGCTGAACAGAGGGTTAACAATTGCCTTTATGAATTGCACTGGTCAAGAAGTTTACTCTTGTTTTTGAGGTCTTTTCACTAAAAATCTTTGTTTTTTTTATCCTTTCCTCCTGAGTCATTTAGATGAGAGCTTTGTTTCACAAATGAGGCAATGAATCACATCAAGTGCATAATAGGTGAATCATAGTTTGAAAGTGACAATTCCATTCTCCTCTTTCCGCTGGTCTACGATGCTTGAAAAGTGAACTCCTGTTAAAAAACAATTAAATGATACATGAGTATTACATTTTGGACCAGTACTGAATAAAGACGTAGGTTACCGAATACGTTGTCTGCAATTGTCTTTTAAAGGAGAACTATGAGGTGAGTGTTTTTCACTCAGCCTTATAATCTAAGCCGACCTGTGACAATGGAACTGTCACAGGTCGGCTCGTTAGATCAGGAAGTGAGGCAACACATACCGACACTCGCTCACTTCTTGATGTATCCGTGCAGAGAGCAGTGAGTGTCACTCACGGCTCCCTGCAGGGATTCCCCCTCCTCCCCTGTCCGATACTCCAGCGCTGACTGGTCGGAACTCAGGATCCGTTCCGGCTGCGGCGTCTCAGTATACTGCAAGCTATACTGAGCTTTGGGTGACGGGAGGACGCTAGGTTGTGTCGTCCTGTTACCCTTAGAACAATGGGGAAAAGCACTGACCCCATAGTTCTCCTTTTAAAGGAGAACTATGAGGTGAGTGATTTCCAGTCATCCTCATAGTTAGAGCCGACCTGTGACAAGTTGTCACAAGTCGGCTCTATCGATCGGGAAGTGAGCAGAAACATGCAGCCGATCCGCTCACTTCCCGATCATCTTCCTGCAATGAGCAGTGACTGTCAGTCACCGCAGGGCCCTCCTTACCATCCTGTCTTGTAATGTCTTCCTTGTATTGTAAAGCGCTGCGCAAACTGTTGGTGCTATATAAATCCTGTATAATAATAATAATAACCGCTCTCCGATCCTCCGGCGCTGAATGGAGGAACGAACGAGAGGGGGCGGGCACAACTGGCCCTGCTGGATAGGCAGAGCCACCCGTCACTCATGGCAGCCGGGTGGATCCAGACCGTATTGCGGGATCCGTCCCGGCTGCGACACTCTCAGTATGTAGTGGGCAATAGCTCGCTGTATTCTGAGGTTTGGGCCACTGGAGAAGGTTAGTATATGTCCTCCCGTGACCCCAAAGAGAACTATGGTGAAAAAAACCTTACCCCATAGTTCTCTTTTAAAGTGAACCTGTGCTTTGTCCACGCAACGGATCTGTCAACTAATTCATATGGGATTCAGAAGCCACTGTCCAATGCAGGAACCAACAGGATTTTTTTTTTAGGAGTCGGCGCCATTGACAACTAGAAAAAATTGAAAAGCTAGGTGCCGGCTCTAATGTCTGAGCATTGGCTATCTGGCTCCTGGGATTCGGTAAGCCCTGGATAAAGTAGACCAGGGGTTAGCAGCCTTGGCATTCCAGCTGTGGTTAAACTAGAAGTCCCATTATGCATCTGCCTTTGGGAGGCATACCTGTGTCTCAGTCCTGCAAAGCCTCAAGGGACTTGTAGTTCCAAAACAGCTGAAGTGCCGAGGTTGCCCACAAGTTAAAATGGCTCTTGCTGATAGCTGTCCATACAAGCCAAGATTCTATTCAGGCGCATGACAGCCAAGTATAAACGGTTTTATTAGCTGTTGGGATTTGAGTTTTTACTGATGTTCCCTTCGTTGTTGGGATTTGTATTCCCTGTATGGCTGGTTTTTCCTGTCCGTCAGCTGCTGAGATGCTCAGCCAGAGCGACAAGTTGCATCAATTTTTAGGGAGAAGAAAAGGCACGTGCTTGAGATCTTAATGCAATGTTTCTCGTGCACCAGGGGCAGAGAATTGCTTTGGGATTTTATACCGTCAGTTGGTTTTTTTTTCCCCAATTTTGTTTGACTTTATGATGCTTTCTACACATGCTCAGTCTGGCCCATGAGCTTTGTCTTCTCTGTATCTAGCTAAAGGAAGACAAGTTGGGGCGACATTTATTAGCTGGTTAGTCCAGTCTAGTGGCTGGATGCTGGTTAGTCAGGTCTAGTGGCTGGATGCTCTAGCAGTCGCAGTCAGCCTTCATTCACACCTGAGTAGAGCTGCAGCTAATTATTATTTTCAACATCGATTAGTTAGACGATTATTAAGTTCGGTTAATCTGATAAAAAAAATAAAAGAAATTTTGAAAAATTGCTCCAGTTATGGGACTACTAGTTTGTATTGAGATTGCAGTCCACAGGAGCAAGCTTGGAGCGGTGGAAGTAAAAAAAGAAAAAAAGTGTGGTGTACAATATAGTGAAATGAAAAGTGTAAAATTATGCAGCAATGAATGCAGAATGGCATCGGCTATAGAGGACTACAAAACCCAGCAATAGTACATTATACAGCACAATGCAGAATACCACCAGCTATAGAGTACAACAAATCCCAGCAATAGTACATTATAGCTGGCGGTATTCTGCATTGCACTGTATAATGTATAATTGCTTGGTTTTGTAGTCCTCTATAGCTAGTGGTATTCTGCATTTGGAGGAGGTGCAGAGCGTGGATGCAGGCGGGTCTGGCAGCGGCGAGCGTGAGGTGGGGAGGAGGTGTGGCACGCAACCTGTTTGGAGCCGTGAACAGGGCCAACCAATCGGAAGCCGATTAATCTATGATTGAAAAAGTTGACAACTTTTTCAATCGATTATAAACGGTTATGACGATTAGTTGTTGCAGCCCTACACCTGAGGGTTTCGTCACCTGTTTCCTGAAGAGCGACAGGACTCAACATAAGGAATCCCATTCTTGTCAATGAAGCTTGCCCACACTGGAGGTGTAGCTTGAAGCTCACAATAGTACTTGGGAGAATCGTGCATTTTTCACCCCATAGACTTTTTAACAGGAGTGCCTGAAAAAACCACAAGTGTTTTTTGCAAGATTTTGCTCCTAATAACTATATCCTCCTAGTAGCAGGCTTCCAAATTGCCTGAAAATGCTCATGTGTGGGGACTAAATCGTATCTAAACTGAAAACCATGTACTGTAGCTTCCCATTCTTCTGTGGTGGCTGAAGTATTTTTTCCCCTTTTTATATTAACCTGATCATCCTGCCAGTAACACTTCCAGTTCTAGGATGTCACTCTCTCATTGTACTGGATGATGCTCACTCATTGCTCCTCTATAGAGTACAATATAGGGCACCTCCCCCTCTCCTTAGCTCCATGACATAGGCAGCGGCGTTCTGTAGTCCACAAAGAAAATACAAACTGATAATAGTGCAGCAGAGGCGCACAGGATGTTGGCAGGGTCAACGGGTATCTTTATGTACTTCTCAAACAGATATAACAACACTTTCAGTTGTACGGTCCACAGACCAAAAGGGAGCAGATAAAAAAAAAAATGTAATTGTTTGGGTTTACATACATGGTAATATACATGCTTTGGATGCAGTCAGGTTTGTGTGTGTTAAGTTCTGCAGTGCGTGTGGGGAATGGCCTCCTGTTCTGGGTTTATACTTTGTCTCTGTGATGATTGGATTGTTGTGTGCTTCTTATCTAATATTCTGCTATTTTCTGTTTCAGTGCAATGAACTGGAGGATGACGAGTCCTGCAGTGGCCTCACAGACCTTACACTCTCATCCCTGGATGTGGGAATATTGGGAACCCTCCAGGGGTACATTGACAATTCCATCATTTCTATCATTGATGACAGTGCAACTCAGGCTGAGGTATGACTTCCAATATCCTTCTACCAATCCTGCCCTGGTAAAAGCTGCTCGCAAAGGAGCTTTCCAGTTAGTACTTTAGTTAATAATTTTTTGCAAGATGTTGGAGACCCTGCCACCAATTCATTTCAACAACTATCGTCCCATAAGATTATATGTGCATGGAATGTATTGTAGGCCTGTAAAAGCCTCCCTTGTGTACCCCCAAAAGCCCTGAGACTATTACTGCGCGCCACCATCCTGTCAGTGTCGGCAGCCCTAGCAGAATCGGAGCTAGCAATCAATTGACACTCTATAGCAGGGGTAGCCAAACTCTGCTCCTCCAGCTGTGGTGGAACTACAAATCCCATGGGGCATTGCAAGATTCTCACACACATGACTCCAGGAGAGAGATGCATCATGGGATTTGTAGTTTCACGACAGCTGGAGGGCCAAAGTTTGTGTAGCCCTGCTCTATGGTATTCTCTTTCGATCCTCCCCGACTGCTACATAAATGATTATGTGGGGGGGGGGCTTCCCTGGAGTAGCTTGGCCAGCACAGAATGTAAATAGATCCTCCCACAAGAGGAGAGGGGCATGACATACAAGTGCAGTGAAACCCCCTCCTTCTTGCAATTCATTGATAACTCCTCCGACTCCATAACCGAAGGTCAGGACGAATAGTTTGCAGTAGCCTGTGCAATTGCACCTGCCACCCACAGATCGCCATTACAGTGCTTTGCAGGCTCCAGTGCAAAAAGTAGTCTTCATTTTTCATTATGGGTGCACTTATTTATTTATTTTCAGAAAGCACAATATGCCTTTTAACATGCACTTGGTAAACCCTTTTTAACTGTTTCCAAATACAGGTGACAAGAGCGATCCTAGTGTGACATCATGTTTGTTTGAACACTACGGGCTTTGTAAGTCGTCTTGTTTGTAACTCTTTTATGTTGATCATTGCAGAACAAAGGCCACTTCAATGAGGAAAACGAACTCTCTCTTCTGACAGCCCTAACTGAGATATTGGACAATGCAGATGATGAAAATATGTCACCATTTGACTCCATTCCTGATACAGAACTTCTGGTGTCATCAAAGGATCGGGATGGATACTCAGTAAGTCTCTTGTTCAAATCCTTTTATAGAGAATCTTAAAGTAGCCTCTGTGCATCACGGGGTGACCTATCTCACCCCCGTCACTCCTAGTAGTAACATTTCCTGTTGATAATTGGTGTCAGGTGTGACAGAGGAGATGCTCACCCCACATTGTGCTGTACATAGATTAAATAACAGCCAAATGTGCAAGGAGACAAGAAAATAGTCACTCGCACTCCAAAGCGAAATCCAGTCAATCACTTTATTGACTATGGTGATAATATCCCTAAGCACTCAATGTAATATGGTATATATCGAATTGTAAATGTGCAATGAGTTCACGTATGAAACATAATTTCTCTTTTATATATTAAAACCCTCTCCCAGTAGTTGCTGCAATACACTTCATCCGGTATTGTAAAGCTTACTACAGAATTGCTGCTTCAATGTTACTTGAAACATTGTAATGGGATTGGTTAGTATTTACTGCACAATGACTGGTGATATTATTTAGGAATTTAATGCTGTCATTTTATGAGAATGAAGGTTTTATGAGAATGGAATATTATTATATTATATTACAGGTATTTATATAGCGCCGACAATTTACGCTTTTACATAGCGTACATTCACATCAGTCCCTGCCCTCACGGAGCTTACAATCTAAGGTCCCTATATCCCATGCATACATAGGGGGCCGATTTAGACAGGAGCCAATTTACCCCTTCCAGCATGTCTTTGGAGTGTTAGAGGAAACCGCAGTACCCGGAGGAAACCCACGCAAGCACAGGGAGAACATGCAAACTCCTTGCAGATAGTGACCTGGACGGGATTCGAACCAGGCACCCCCAGTGCTGCAAGGCAGAAGCGCTAACCACTACGCCACTGTGCTGTCACAGGGGCTGATTTTATGAAGAACTTTCATGTTAACAGTCATATAAGTAATTGTGTAAAGATGTCACCAGCACACCAAAATCCTTCTTAGGATAAGTAAATGTTCATCTATTGAAGTTCCTTGTCTGCTAAACAACCGCTTTCGGGGCCACAGGGTCCCTTCATCAGGCTTAGCATTGGTGTCAATGCTAAGCCTGATGAAGGGACCCTGTGTGGCCCTGAAAGCGGTTGTTGATGAACATTTGCTTATCCTAAGAAGGATTTTGGTGTGCTGGTGACATCTTTACACAATTGCTGATATTTGCGCCGCCATCCGCAGTCACTGCGAGCACCCCCCCACTACAAGGGATTTTTCAGTAAGGAATGCAACAAGGAATAGTATTTACAGTCCTATAAGTAGTCCAGTTGTCATAAGTGTGTCTTTTTTTTTTTTTTTGTTTTTTTCCTTTTTTATCTCCCTTTTCTTCATCAATTTTTAACATTCTGTTTTCAGGTGATGAATAAGCAAAATTTGTCAAGAATTTCCACTGTTTTTTTTTTTTTTTTTGTATTTTGCCTTTATTAAACAGCACTGAGATGCAGTATATAGAATGTCATAATAAATTCCTATCATGTCCTTTTTTTGTTTTTTCCCCAAGTAATCTTCCAGGACAGCATCTGAGAGTCTCAGATGCTGTCCTGGAAGATTCCTGGAAACCAAGTTACCAGGTACCTAACTCAGTTTTTTACTCCTATTTTTTTACCATTTACAGAAATTCCTCAGTCTGTCCCGTACACCACCTGATCGAGAGATTACTTCATTGGATGACCAGCGTTGGGTTAATTATGCCAAGGTGAGAAACTTTAAAGCGTATTTGAAAACAAAATTAAAACAACATTTTGCACATCTATGCAATGCATGCACATTTCCCCAATGTTAACCCTTTAAACGCAATAGCAAGTACAGAAAGATAACGTTTGATGTGCCAGACATATAGTGTCTTCCTAACATCCTATTTGACATGACAACACAATGGGAGGAATATATAAAATCTGGAGCTGCTGAGGCAACCAATCAGCTTCTCTCCAGTTTGTAGAGTTAAACTTTGACAATGAAAAGATGGAATCTGGTTACTATGTGCCGCTGCTCCAGATTCTGCATCTCTCTCCCCCCCCATGGTAATTGTGGCTTTGAATTTCAAAGGATGTGTTGTCAGCCCTGCCTACTTCATTCTGAATTGAGAAAGCTGGTTGGATGACCAGCTTAACGTCTTCTAGAAAAATACAGCAAGTCCCATTTTGATTTTCTACAGATTGAAGTTGTGGTTTTGGGGTTTTTTTTTGTTGTTGTTTTGGTCATCCATTTTTTGTTGTCAATATCTGTGATATACTAAATAAAAGTGTTTACAATAAAGTGCAGGTTTTTCAGTATCACAAGTAGTCTTTGACTTATTAAAAATCTAAAGCAATAGGAATTATGCTTCTGCTTTTTTGTTTTGTCTAACAGGTTGATCGTCGCTGTCCCGGGCCCAACTGGGATCTCTTTCCAGACACCGTCAACTCTACCCCAATAAGACGCACCAGACAGAAAAGCGTAAGAGCATACTTACCCTGCAGAGCAAGAACAACGCATACCCAAGAGCGAAGCGACGGAGAAGAGGAGGAGGTTCACCACCCAGAGAAAATACAATTACAGATCCCTAATTTGCTGCCTGTTGCTAATGACTCTTCCTTAGATTCTGAAGATGAAATTGTTGATTTTGATGATGAACATCACTCGAGGCACGGCACCCCTTGTATCATTAATACTGAAAATGTCCCTCTTACCGATCTGGTGAAATACATGCACCCATATTGCCTGCCGGCTTTAACTGCGTGTCTAGATCCTGAAGAGGAGGACCTCATGGATGAAACGGTGTTTCTTGAAATTGTGTCCGATCAAGGAGACTCAATAAGAATCCCTGTAGTTGTTGAAGAGCCAGGGGACTTGATAAATTACCAGTCGTCAGAAGACACTATCCCTGTACTCAGTGCTTTAGAAGATGTGGTTGCAAAACCCCAAACTCTGTCCACACGCGAGTCCACCTCAGAACAACGTGTTCCTGAGGTGGATGTTAATCATGAAGGAAGCATTGGTGTAATGGAAGACGAAGAATCTTCTGAATCGGTTGAGGACAAAATTATGGAAAGCATACCAGAAGTTGAGAACACGCCCACCGAATCTTTGAATGTAGAAGAAACAGTTGACAAAGTTTCTAATAAAGAAGACCAAACGAATATGGATAGTAGATTAGATTTAAACTCTAAGCAGAATAATGAGGAGGTTATGGTACCGGTTTCAGACAAAGAAAAGGTGTTCAAAGGAAAGAAGTCTACCAAAGATAAGCATCTCAAGAGCTCAAAGTCAAAAGCTAAAAGCAAAAATAAAGGTGCCAATGAAGGCAAATCACAAGAAGTTCAGGAAATTGTTGCACTGCAGAATCCCGCTCAGTCTACTACATGCCGATCAGGTAATCCTTCACTGCAGGAGTCTGACTTCTTGATAAAGACATTGGATAAGGTGAAAAAAGAATCAGAGCTGGAACTTCAGGCCTCTAAGATCCGCAGCAAAGCAAGGTCTCGTCCTAGCTTAGACCATCCAGAGAAAAAAATGAACTTCGAAAACATTAAAAAGGAGGAAAAAACTACTTTTGTAGATACTGAACAGCCCAAATGTATCGTAGATGCAAAAGTTGATCCTGTCTCAGAGAAGAATACTGATAAAGATGAAGATCTAAGCTCCAAGTCTGACATGATTAAGGAGCATGTCGCCAATGATAAAAGCGACAGCCAGGACATTGTTTCTGAAACTGCCGATATTGGCTTGGAGGGTACGTCCAATGTGGAGCCAAATGAAACTGTCCTGCAAGTAAAGGACTCTAAGCCCAAGTCACTTAGTTTAAGTGAATACAGGAAGAGGCTTCAGAGCCGAAAACCTAACCCTGATCGAGAGAATGAAATCTCATCCTGCAGCAAGTGGCCTTCTCTTCCTGAGCCACCCACAGAGTTAGCTGAACTTCCATGCTTGATTGTGCCTGCAACATCAAATAAAGCAGCCGTCCAGGGAAAGCCAAGCCCAAGTAAACCAGAAAGCTGCTGTGCACAGGTTGCCCCAGCCACCTCCAGTACATCACCACCCATTGTCCCAATGGCCCCTATGACTACTCGGGAAAACCTTCCACAAAAATTGGCTGACAAACCATGCTTAAATGCTATGGATACAACACTGCCCCCTATGATGCCTTTACAGACAAACATACCACCTCCATTTTTTCATCCTGCATGGCCAACTGTACATTCACAGCCACCTTATTACCCCGGTGTACAATCTTTGCCAGTAGTTCCTCAGTTTCCCAACACCTTACCTCCAATGATGCCCATGCAACCACCCCCAACAATGATGAGTTGGCCTCCATTTCCCCCACCACCCATTGCAATTGGTCCTATGCATCCTAATGGTTGGCCTTCTGGCCTGCCACCACCTTATTGGCCGAATCCACCAGTGCCCCAAGGATTGCCTGAAATCCCTGTTCCTTTCAATATAGCAAGTCAGCTTGGAGTACCCGATCAGAAGTTCCCACAGGATGCTAAAGTTCCATCTAGGGAATGTAGCCCTCAAAAACAAAGGCCAGTTCAAAAACCTGCTGATGGTAAGAATGGAAAGAAGGAACGAAAAGCGGCTGAAGCATCAGATGCTATTAAACCTGGTGTTTCAAATAAATGTGACCGTATAAATTCACATTCTAAATCCGGGTTACAAGTTTGTTCAGAGGTTAAGAAACCGGATTCTTCACTGGCACAAGCTAAAATGCTGCCAGAGTCTAAGAAGACAAGTCTTTCAATCCCTGACCTAAAATCTGCCAACGAGGTGGTCTGCAAAATCATGGAAATTCTAAAAAAGGCCCAAAAGTTTGGATTTCAGATAAACCCGCCACTTCTATCAGTTGCTCAGAAGACTGAGAAACCTACTAAAGCTCACGAATCAATGGAGGTCAATATATTAAAGTCAGCTGACCCTGAGAAGGCCAGTGTTAGTGGCGTTGGTGCACAGAGCCACCCTATGCCTGCCATAGGCAAACCTTCAGCCTTGCCCGTTGAGCAAACAAAACCTGAAGCTGCTCCAAGCACCCTTGTAAAAGAGGAGAAAACCTTAATATCTACCGTTGGTGAAAAAACAGTTCCAGCATCTGCCCCCCTACCAGTTGAAGCACTTTGCACCCCCTCTGAGGCGTTAGTTTCTAATCAAAAAGAGCAAGCAGAAAGCTTTGCTGGTGAGACAGGTAATATTTTTGTGTGGTAGAAAGCTAAATGTTGATCTCTGTCCTGTACATTGAACTTTCATTATTCATATATTTTTGTATTTATTTTAAGGCATTGAAGCATCTGATTTAACAAGCTTGCTGGAGGAGTTTGAGAAGTCTGAGGGTAAGCCTGGTTTTGTTTTTAAGGAAATCTTTGAAAGTCATTTTTTTTCTTTGAGTGGCTGTTGACTTTGAAATGACAATATAACTAGTAGAGGTTACTCACAGCAAGAATTCATATTCCTTCATTGCGTGACTCTTAGGGTCATGGAAACCCGTACACTTTTAAAGGACAGGTGGACTTTAGGCTAAAAGCTGCACTTAAACTTCCCCTTCAGGTGCCTGCTTATCTCCTCCTGATGGTGGTGGCCATCCATGGGGTTTACAGAAACAGTGCCAAATCTTCTCACACTGCCTGCACAGTAACTTCCCATGTCCCCTTACTCCCCTACATTCATTTATATATATTCTGCATGGGGAGTGAGAGAAGATTTCTGCCCACTGCCATCAGATGGAGGTAAGTAGGCACCTAGTTGGAAGTTTTAGTTTAGAATAATTTGGGGGGCTACCTTTTTGGAAGTTTTCATTCGTAACTCGCCCTTTTAACCCCTTCGTGACTGACTACGTACAGTGTACGTCGCCAGCATCTGGGCTGTTTAAACAGACTCCCGGCGACTTTTGCCGCCGGGAGTCTGTTTAAACTTGTAGAGCCGACTGTCGGCTTTACAACAGAAGCGATCCTGGCGACTTACCTGTCGCCAGATCGCTTCTGCGTCCCGAAGAAGGGGCCGCCCCCCCGCCGGGCTCCGTTGCCCCTCCTACGGGCCCGGGACCGGCGATCTTTGTGTCCGCGGGGAGCTGGGGAGGAGGTCGACGAACTTCCGTTCATCGATCCCCTCCCCGTTCTATGGGACCGGGAGCGATGCAGATTGCATCACTTCCGGTCCCTGGGCTGTCAGTTCTGGGCTCCTGCAGCCCAGCTATAAGCTATTGAAGTGCGATCTGCACTTCAATAGCTTATTTCCAGTGTAAAGGTGACACTGAGGGTCTTTTGGACCCCCAGCATCACCTTAAAGAGGACCTGTCACCACCATCTGCTATTACATGGGGGGGCTTGCAAGCCCCCCCATGTGATAGCAGTCAAAGTAAAGTAAAAAAAAAAAAAACCAGTTTTTAAAATAAAAATGAAATAAAAAAAATCTAAAAATAATAAAAAAAAAAATTTAAAGTCCCCCACCCCCGCGAGCACGCGCGTCGCCACGTAAACACGCGTCGGGTGCGCCTACGCATGAAAACGACGAACGCGCTACACATGTTGGGTATCGCCGCGCACGCCGGAGTGAGAGCAATAATTCTAGGGCCAGTATTTTGGGGTATCTCTAAATTGATGACCTGTGGGGGCTTTTAAAGTGTCTTTTATTGACTTTTTGGGGTACTGCAGTTTTTCGCCGTTTCACGGTCGCACGCAATCTGTAAACTGGGCATGTTGGGTATCGTTTTACTCGTTGTAACCTCATCTTTTATATTTCATTAAAAAAATGGGTAATTTGTTGTTTTGGGGCATTTAATTAAATTTGTCACTAAATTTTGGGGTTTAATAAGGAGTTGCGCTAATATTGCGCAACATAAAAATTTTCAACTACCACCATTTTATTCTATAGGGTCTTGGCATTCAGAAAATATATAATGTTGGGGGGTTTTATGTCATTTTCAGGCCTAAAATGTGGAATATAACATGGGTGCAAAAATGGAAAAAAGGGCCTCAGTCATGAAGGGGTTAAAGGAGAATTGAGGAGAGTGAAAACCACTCATAGTTCGAGCCGCCGTGTGACAATTAAACTGTCACACGTTGGCTCAATAGATCGGGAAGTGAGCGAAGGCAGATTGTTGACTGTCAGTCACGGCTCCCTGCGGGGATTCCCCGCTCCGATCCGCCAGCGCTGACTGGAGGAACAGACGGGGGAGGGGGCGGGCACAGCTGGCTCTGCCTCTAGATAGGCAGAGCGAGCTGTCAATCACGCAGCTGGGTGGATCGCGACAGTATTGTCGGTATCTGTCCCGGCTGCAGCGCTTTCAGTATAGCGTGAGCTGTAACTCGCGATATACTGAGCTTTGGGTGACGGGAGGACCCTTAGGAGAACTATGGGGGAAAACACGTACCCCATAGTCCTCTTAGGGTTACCTGTTAGGATAGATGTATGGAATTGGCCATTACCAATATTTTAAAGGTTACATTGCATTCACCCTGATCTGTTTGACTGCTTAGCAAGCCACTGGCCCTGGAACAGATATGCTGGTTGGCAGTTTTACTTCCCTAACTGCATGCATGTTCCAGGTCAGTGACATAACCACTCAGTGACATAACCACTAAGTAATGAAGAGGAAGGCTTTTAGAACTTGTAACCTTAAAAACAAGTCAGTAGCGGTGGTTCATCTTTCTATAGTGACACATTCTCATTGTAGCTTGTATAAAGATATAATTGATTTTTGTGGCCATTCCAGGTACAAATATTAAATTCTTTTATTTTGGCCATTCTAGATACATGTATCACATTATTTTATTGTTTAAGATTGTTTATGTGCATTGGGCAGCCAGAGGGTTATCTTCTAGTTTGTACCCTGTACCCCTGACCATAGCCTCGCTTAGGGACACGAATCAGGAAGTGTTGCTATCCCATTGTCTGAGCAGAGTGTGCTTAGTTTGCACTGGGCTCTTGCTGGGAATAGCTTTCTCTGTAGCATGTCAATTCACAGGGATCAAGTGCCTTCATAGGGATGTCCATGGTCTAACCCAAATAGACACGCAACAGGGTGAGTGTAATAGAAAAATTATCCATCCAGTATGGAACGGAGGCAGAACCCAAAGCGAATAAAGCTGTGGTTGAGATGTAATCTATTCTCGCTCCTGCCTCCAGATTCTGCTCAGAGATGTGATGCAAAGGATTAAATTGAAATTGCAAACAAATATTTCAGCCAGAGAATTGTCCCCAAATGTTTATTAAATGTGGCTTTTTTACCTAGTCTGTGTGAATAGAGGGCGAGTGGTTTTGGCTGACTGTAGAAGATGAGATACGGGGATCTTGGCCTGATGATGGGATGTCCCATGTACAGATGATTACTAGAGGGAACAGTAAAAAATCCCTTTATGAAATTAAAAAAAAAAATACTTTTAGGTATATTAAGCAGTGGTGCTTATTAGAATGACCCTATAGCTTGTTTTCTACTTTCATTGCCCTGGGACAAAAAAAAAAACAATATAGGGAAATCACATTGTGACCTTCTGAATTGCTGTTCTGAGTAAGATGTTTTGTGTGTGCGGTTCCTGTACTTGCTCTCAGTAGTTTAACACATTTGGTTCTTTTCAGCTAAAGATGAGGAGCGTCTGCCTCCCAGTCCTGATAAAATGGCTGTAGGAAACTCTGGGTAAGTGTGAGAGTTACCCTACAGCTCGACATTGCCTCCTGTCATAGATCGTGCTCTGCTCTATGGCACCTTGGTTCCTTGTTATGTTTGTGGGCTTTTGTTTTGTAGGGAAAAAAAATGAGGGCTGCAACTATTATTTTCATAATCAATTTAGTTGGCCGATTAATTTTTTCGATTAATCGGCTAAAAAAAATATCTTTTATTTAAAATTAAAATACACAACTGCAGAGTTACAGACATAGTTTACTTCAGAATAAAAATGCACTGCACTGGAATGTATGGCATTGCAGTACCTCGTGTTCCAGTGCGGAAGATCGCACTGCGGACGGGAGGCGCTTTTGGCGTGCATTGAAATGAATGGCTGTGCAACGCAAATCCTGCAGCAGAACTTATGAAGCCAAAACAAAAAATAACTTTCTTTTCCCACCTTGTTCTTATTGTTATTAATTTTTAACGGTTTGTATTAGACAATTAATTAGTTTCATGGAATTAAAATCTGAATGGAAAAACCCCAAGCCAATATAATAAAATAAGCATACTTTTTTTTTTTTTTGTTAAATAACACAGCAAAATTTGACAAAAAATACAATTATAAAATTGTATATATAAAAGCCCAGTCATCAGTTTAGCGTTGACCATGAATATTGCTCATTTGTGGCGCACACACTGCGATACCTGACGTGTAAGACAATTGTCATTTTCGTACGCAAGTGCACCCGACTTGTGTTTCCGTTAGTATGAGCGAGTTTGCGGAGTCAGGGGACTGCCTGCTATCAATCAGAAGAGGAGGGAACGGAAGGAAAACATTCTCCAATAGAGGGCCACAGGATGGGGGAGTGAACAGGGGGAGGAGCAGTCCGGGGGAAATGTAGAGGCACAGCGGTCTCTCCCTCCCGCTGGGTGCCGGCTGCAGACAGACCACAGCATGCAGGGGCCCCCAGCAGAGCAGCGCATGAGTGATGTTTTTATTTTATTTTTTTTGGAGTTCTCACAGCAACAGGTTCACTTTATTGCCCCCTCCCCAATTACACCTTATCCACTTGCCTGTACTCCCCCTGCATTTGCCTGCCAGGAGCAGACATAGCAGAGAGAACATATGGGTATGGGGAGCATGGAATTTCACAGGGCAGTGCCGTTTTGCTGCCTAGTCAGCCATCACTTTCAATTTGAGGCAGAGAACCTCCTGCGTAACCTCAAGTAGCAACCAGAAGCATACATGGCTTCCTCTGTCTTCCCACCCCCAATGGCCCAGTGGCCAGATGTCAATGTGTGACCGACTTGTTTTTCTATCCTTCAATAGTAATGATTTGTATGACACAAAAATTACTTTGCCTATTGGTATTTCCCAGTAGAAATCGCTCATGCGCAATAAAAGCTACATATGCTAGAAGTATGATTTTATAAAGAAAATGATTTTTCTTTTTTTTTTTCTTGGTTTCTGATTGTAAAAAATCCAGGGAGGTTGTTGAAAAATGCAATGTGCATGTTTTAGCAGCAGGCAATAAACAAAACGCATGAAGCGTAAACAGCAGCTCTGCAAAGGATTAGAATAGGTTATACTAGTGGTCTGCTTTGTATAGCAGAGTTTTAGTTCCTCAGAAGAGTTTGCAGTAGTTCTGTAGGCACAACAGTTTTGTATATGATTAGAAATTGATATCGTTTTTTTTTTTACTCTTGACAGATCTGAGAAGCCATTGGAAAAGAAGATTCCTGTGGATAAACATCTGGCACCAGAGCTGGTTAATACAGCTGGTGAGTGGACATCCATGTTGGTCTGTCTCGTTGCTTGCCTTCCTTTTTGTTTCTACCCTGATACATGAAGCAATTTCTGAGTTTTGTTTTGTGTTCGATTTATAAATAAGTTTACTCATATCAAAATTGAAACGTGAAGCCCGTCTGGGCAAAGTTTCCCCTCCCTTGCCCTTCTCCCCCC